ACTACTGTTGGTCGGGATTACTTTACTGTAATTTGAGATGGATGTGCTACTGCTTCTTACCACCACTCAAATCTCGCCACCTGGTTTTCAGGGTCATCCACACCACAAAAGGGGAGACAGTACAGTACCCATTGCGACACATGCGACCAGGAGTTCAATCGAACTTGCGACACAATGTGACGAGAATGCCAACTTGCGACCCGTGCGACAAAAACCCAAACTAGGTGAGCCTCGGGAGCTTGGTCGTTTGGTCGTTTGGTTAGTAAGGGGGTTCGATTTTGCTCAAAACCCTACCCAAACGCAAAGATTTGTAAACTAGCCGCACTGACACGCACAGTATCAAATTCCACCGTAATAATGTGAATTGACATGACACACTTTCGTTCCGTGCAAGGAACATCGTCTGGTTGGTGGTGGTCAGGCTGCCCGACGGTACACACGCCTCCACCTCTTTTCGTCGGAAACGAACTTTTCTCGTCAATCGCGTATTATTAGTACGGAACGTAGTAATTCTCGGCCCTGCTTGACAGGCAGGCACCTCCAAGTCACGCAAGCACCGCTTCCCGGTTTTTGTTAGCTTTTCCTGTTTTGCTGGGAAAGAAGGGAAATATTTATGCAAACTAGTCGCAGATATGTGTTTTGTCGTCGACCTGCAACCTGTGTGCCTTTGTCGGGCAGTCGACGCTGTGTAGTGCGCTCTCTAAGTCATCAACCTACAGTGCGAGCTTCTGAACTTAGGGTTCGTGGTGCTACACGTGCCATGCCAGCATCCGAGCTTGAACGCCCGAAGCTGGCAGCTACGGTCCAGCTTCCCGAAGCTGGCAGCTGGCCCGCGCCGCGATCATGCGGTACAGTACTCACGCCGCCGTCAGAGCAACGAGCTCTCCCCGCAGGGGCGTTCCATACCTCGCCCGCGGCTCGTAGATGCAGGGGCCTGCATTTCTATAGTTGCACCAGGTTTTCAATTCAAATTACAAATCTTCACCCTTCCTCTCAACCTCTGGGCTTCTCCGTGAGTTAATAACCCCTAGTAGAAAAGGCCAGGCTTCCAGCCCATCGGATATACCAACATGGAGCGCCGCGTGCCACCCCCCCTCTTCGTCCTCCTCTGTAAGCACCATAGGATTTTTTCTCTTGAACTCAAAGTCAGCTCTGTAAAGCACTGTTAATAGTACCTTTCTGCACTTTTGCTACTAATACATACAGCCAGCAAGTGGAATTTCTCGTTCCGTCGTGATACTTATGTCTGGTGTTGACCACGCGGTGACCATCGTGACACTTCCAACGTGACCCGTCTCGATGTCATGCGGTGACCAGCGTGTGCGGCTGTGCATGCCTTTCCCAACGTCAGCCTACCGTTTCTCTTTTATCCACATCCTCCCCCACCGGAAGCCCTTCTCTGCATTTACTACCCTATCTTCATCCTCCCCCCATCTCCTCCCCCCAATCCTTCCCCCATTCTCCCCCCATCCTCCCCCCCCATCCCCCCCTCCTGGCAGCAACAGCAGCAGCGGCGGCGACGAGTGAGCCTGTAGTGCCAGTGCTGCCCCTAGGCTGATGTGCTGGGGGCGGCGAACCACCCTTCTTTTTCCAACACAGTGCACAGCGCCAGCGCTGCTCCTAGGGCGTGCTGAGGACGACCAAACAGCTGGGCGGACGGCAACATGATGCTTTATAGACTCACTCTCGTTACTGTCGCACGTATTCCCCATCCCCCCACCCTTCTTTTCCAGCAGCAGCACCGGAATGTCAGAGAGGCTGCACAGTGCCAGCGATACGCTTGACGTTTGAGTCGACTCAAAAGTCAGTCCCAGCGAGACGCATGGCTGACATGCTGGCGGCGACCAACAACTGAGCAAACATCCAATCCCCTTGGCCTTTGTGCAACACCCCTTGGCCTCAGCATTACCCCTTGGCCTTCCTGCAGGATGATGGCAACGGCAGGCGTCTGGGATGTGGTCAAGGTAGTGTCGCCTCACCCCTTGCCCCACGTGCTCCCGTCCTTTGCGACTGAAGAAACAGCCGCTATGGAAAACGTTCACCACAGAAGTTGAACGCTTGCCAATACATCCCTTGCTCTTTCCGCGCCCCTGATTCTTCCCACATGATCATGGCATGCCACGATGCTCCCCGCCACCCCCCCCCCCCCACCAGGTGCGGCGTTGTTCGCTGTCTCCGCGTCTGCCTCGGTCTCTCCTCCATTCGTCGCACGCAGCAGCAGTGCTTCATCGTCATCATCATCCGTGTTTGAGGCCGCGAGTCAGGTTGCCAGGCCCTTGGCGCAGAGAGGGAAGGCTGTCGGTGAGTCTGCTCTACATTGCTCTTGGTGTGCCAGTGGTGCCGCTGTGCCAGTGGTGCCGCTGTGCCAGTGGTCCCGCTGTGTCAATGGTCCCGCTGTGCCAGTGGTCCCGCTGTGCCAGTGGTCCCGCTGTGTCAGTGGTCCCGCTGTGCCAGTGGTCCCACTGTGCCAGTGGTCCCGCTGTGCCAAAGGTGCCACTGTGTCAGTGGTGTTCACCTCCACAAGCTTCTCTCGTATGTGACCCTGCGAATTAGGTTGAAACGTATCCTTTTTTACTTGTGGTGCGGCTGTGCCAGTCATGTTTACCCACACCATTTTTTCGCTTACCGTATGGCCCCGGATATAAGCGCAGGCATATTATAAGCGCATGCGCTTGTATCTGGAGCAATGCGCTTATGGCCGATCCTCATTTATAAGCGCACCCCCCTGTAAAACCTTGATTTATAATAAGCGCATGTATAATTTTAAATTTTAAACCAGATTAAAACGGTAGCGATTTCAAATTTTGCAGTGAGAATACAACCATTTTCGCTTCGATTGACTTTCAAGGACCTCACATACTGCGCGTCCAGTCAGTATGAGCTGGCATTTCTGATAGTGACGTGTAAATTTGCCCCTGTGCGCCGGCAGAAAATCGCTTACGCTCGAATCTGAATTGTAAGTCGCTACCACTTTGATTCGATTGAAATCGCAAGAAGGAGATGTACAGTTTGGTGCCAATGAATTATAAATTTGTATTTGTTACTATATAAGCGCATGCGCTTATAAATCTGACTCAATTATAAGCGCACCCCCCCAAAAAACACTGTTTTATTATAAGTGCAGGTGCGCTTATATCCGGGGTATTACGGTATGTGACCCTGCGATTTATCTTGAAACGTATCCTTTTGGTCAAATTGGGGTCACATTTGGGTCGACACTACTAGGAGAAGCTCGTTTCCCTTGCGTTCCTTTACCTGCCGCTCCCATTGCCAGTGAAATACATGGCCAAGTTACGACCTACCAAGCTCAACGGAAAAGTGATTGGGTGCAAAGGTGCATCGGGAAACGTGGTCTTGAAGGTTGTGAGGTGCGTGGTATCAGTACCCGTTGCTGCTGTTGTTGTTCCTTTCCTTGTTATCAATCACAACTGACAGAAAATATCGTTCACTTGTACTCTTGAGTGGCATCGCCAAACACATGGATCAGTGGGGCTCCATCCCCCATCCAACGCTTCCCCCTACCTCCTCTCCCTTTTCCCCTCTCCCCCGCCTCCTCCCCGTATCCCTACCATTCGCAACCGCAACCCCCCCACCCCACCCCACCCCACCCGTCCTCTTCCCTCCCTCTCACGAACTTCTCCCTCTGTGCCCTGTTTGGCAGGTATTCAGCAACGGTTTACTATTGCACTGTCAACGCGCTGAAGCTCAAAACCGGTGGACACACTCCCACTAAAGGCGTTGGCCCTTCCTGCACTGCGGGCGATTTTGGAGGTGCCATAGAGTGGTTAAACGTCACTAGTGACAAGGAAGGCCGCGCCAAGCGTTACAGCTACAAAGGCAGGTGGACACAAGGGCCAGGGAATTTCGCTCAAGCGTATGGGATGATACAGCCTCTGCTGAGTCGAGGCAAATACTATCGGATTGGTTACTCGGTGGGGACTAGTAACGTGCTCTGTGGGAAGTTAGGGCATGTTCCTACGCTCGTATCAGGCAAACCTCTTGTCAGCCTTGCCTGGTAAAAGTAGCGAGGGTTTTTGGGTTTAGGAAAATTTCAGTGGTAAAAGTAGCGAGCTTGATAAGAGGTTGGCCTGATAAGGGGCCGTAGGAACATGAAATTTTTTGAAAGTGTTAAACACTTTCTAAAAATGTACATTTTGAAAGCGCAACTGACTGTAGTGAAGCAAGGCAACTGCAAATGCATATTCCCGAGTACATAACGAGGGTTGGAGGCCATTTGGCCTCCACCCACGTCTTCATTTCGGAACTTTACAGTTCCGCTTCATTCTCGTCCAACTACTTCCGTTCTCACTAGTTCCTATTTCTCACTCTCTTATAGCACGGAGTCAACGCTAAGACAAGTGCCGCAGCAGCAACGTTATTTATTTAGTAGCTGCTACTCGCGTTAACTGCGGATGGTACAGCATCGTGCCCACGATGCATTTGGCGTGCGCGCAACCGAGAAAGAGCTGCGCGCATGAAGCAACGGCCACTGGCGCATCAGTGACGAAATGGCCACGTGCGCCAGTGGCGTGAGCTCGACACTTGCGCCAGTGGCGCGCGTGTCTGGCGAAATCGCCACGTGCGCCAGTGACGCGCATGTCTGGCGAAATCGCCATGTGCGCCACTGGCGCGAGTGTGTGGCGAAATCGCCACTTGCGCGCGTGTGTGGCGAAGTCGCCACTTGCACCAGTGGCGCGCGTCTGTGGCGAAATCGCCACGGACGAAATGGCCAGTGGCGCGGCAGTCAAGAAACTGCTACTGTCGCGCCTAAGGCGTTTGACTGGGCAGTACACCAGTACAGCACCCCATGCCACCTCACCAATTGTTTAGCTGCATATAGAAATTGTTTCAAGTTCTTTTCATTTTCTTATTCTCCTTTCCAGTTCTAATTTATTCTCTTATTGCCTATCAATATCGATACTCCCTCATGACAGAAAAACGGAAAGCCGCTTAAAGTCGGACTCTACTACTCGCGCGGAAAAATTGCAACGACGACAGGATCAACTGCACGCACATCGAAACGAGGGGACCGAGAGCCACCCCCAGGGGGGAAGGGGACCGAGGGTCCCCACGTTGGCCTGAGAGCCGCCCCCAGGGGGGGAAGGGGACCGAGGGTCCCCACGTTGGCCTGAGAGCCGCCCCCAGGGGGGGAAGGGGACCGAGGGTCCCCACGTTGGCCTGAGAGCCGCCCCCAGGGGGGGAAGGGGACCGAGGGTCCCCACGTTGGCCTGAGAGCCGCCCCCAGGGGGGGAAGGGGACCGAGGGTCCCCACGTTGGCCTGAGAGCCGCCCCCAGGGGGGGAAGGGGACCGAGGGTCCCCACGTTGGCCTGAGAGCCGCCCCCAGGGGGGGAAGGGGACCGAGGGTCCCCACGTTGGCCTGAGAGCCGCCCCCAGGGGGGGAAGGGGACCAAGGGTCCCCACGTTGGCCTGAGAGCTGCCCCCAGGGGGGGAAGGGGACCGAGGGCCCCCACGTTGGCCTGAGAGCCGCCCCCAAGGGGGGAAGGGGACAGATGGTCCCCAATTTGGCATGAGAGTCGCCCCCACCGAGGGTCCCCCTCAAGATGGCCTGAGAGCCGTTTCCCAGGGGGCACAGGGGACCAAGACCCGTGTGTATGTACTTACGAAGGTACGCTGGCCAAAGAGCCACCTTCTTAGAGAAGGGGGACATGGGGACTGTAGCTGAGATGTGGAAAACCCCAACTATGTAACGTGTTTGTTGATATGTAGGTATCATTGGCTATTTTGTTGAAGACCTGAATATAGTGAAAAAAAGTCTGACTTAAAAGCCGTTTAAAGTCGTACACTGATTCGACTGACTATGGTAAGATTGGTTGAGTGAAACTACCTGTTGATAGCAAGGATGGGTACGGCATTGGATTTGGTGTTACTGATCACTCCCCCACACTGGACATTCCCAACGGAAGGAGGAGGGGAGGGAGTGTGCTTCAACCATTCACTCCTATCTTGTTGTGTCACACCAGACAAGATACCAAATGGAAAAGTAAAACATTTACCAAAACTCAATGTACCTTGCATTCCATTACCGTTGATGGTTCGCGCTTCAACAACATTCGTTATTGAATGGAGCTATGGGACTGCCATAACATGGTGTGGCAGGGCAGCCAATGCAAATTTTGCTGTTTTTTCTTGACTGACCGTCATGTTACGGTATCAGTTAGAGATGAGCAACTGACGGGCCAAGAGATCAACAGCTGATGGGCCAAAAGATGAGCAACCGAGGGGCCAAGAGACGAGCAACTGACGGGCCAAGAGACGAGCAACCGACGGGCCAAGCGATAATCAACCGATGGGCCAAGAGATGAGCAACCGACGGGCCAAGCGATGAGCAATCGATGGGCCAAGAGATGAGCAATCGACGGGCCAAGCGATGAGCAAATGACGGGCCAAGCGATGAGCAACCGATGGGCCAAGCGAGGTGCAACCAACGGGCCAAGCGATGAGCAACTGACGGGCCAAGCGAGGAGCAACCAACGGGCCAAGCAATGAGCAACTGACGAGCCAAGAGATGAGCAGCCGACGGGCCAAATGATGAGCAACCGATGAGCAACCGAAGAGCCAAGCGATGGGCAACTGAAGGGCCATGAAATGAGCAACCGATGGGCCAAGTGATGAGCAACCGACGAGCCAAGAGGTGAGCAACCGTCGGGCCAAGAGAAGAGCAAGCGACGAGCAAATAGATGAGCAACCGACGGGCCTAGCGATCAGCAACCGAAGGGCCATGAGAGAAGCAACCGATGGGCCAAGCGATGAGCAACTGATTGGCCAAGTGAGGAGCAACGAACGAGCCAAGTGATGAGCAACCGACAAGCCAAGGGACGAGTACCCGACGGGCCAAGAGACGAATTACCGACGGGCCGAGCGATGAGCAACCGATGGGCCAAGAGATGAGAAGCCGATGTGCCAAGAGATGAGCAATTGATGCGCCAGTAACCCACAATTGGAGGCACTTCATCAAGCCCTCTTACAATGCGTATTGTTATGCAGTAATATTTTTACAAACCCATACTTCTTTGGATCTACAAATCTTGCAAACGAGACATGGCGCAATGCTCTGGTAGGCATAATCATTCAACATCGGCCACTCCACTACGAATAGACCTGATTCTGGGCTCTTTCGCTCCTATGTCTTGGGAGTGCAATCGCAACTATGAAATGTCACTCGTTACGACAACGTCCGTTCTACCTCCCCTTATTCAAGTATTCATCTGTGACTTATGCGCCTTTATTCATACAAGATCATTATGCACCCTGGACAGATTGCAATGTGCCGTATTGCAAATATCTACTTCGATGTTGTTTAACTTTGTATGTCAAGCCCACCACTACCACATCAGTTATTGACGTAGCCAAATGGCACCAATCCTCGAATTTTGGTCTGTCACCTCCAGTTTCACGACTGCGACAGCTACTGACCCTACACCTCATTATTCTCCACAAAACACGGACATAGCGGCATCAGTCTTTACGCAACGGTGGCAACTTAATGACTTACACATGGGCCGACACCACCTTCTCCACCTCATGCGCCAGCACAACAATCACTTCAAACCACAGCCCTCCAATCCACCGACAACCCTCGGCACAATCATCTACCTCAAGGAAGGAGCAACTCGCATGACCTCGTCGACATGGAGTGCAACGACCGTCATTGACAATCAACCTCACTGGACGTCGCTATCAACCAGCCTTCGCCATTCGCACTTCGTCTACGGACGCACATGTCTCAGAAGAACCAATTGAAATGAAGCACGTTGCCTTGCAAGAAACAGAAAGCAAGCTTTCTCAATATGAAATTTTTTGAAAGTGTTAAACACTTTCTAAAAATGTATATTTTGAAAGCGCAGCTGACTGTAGTGAAGCAAGGCAACTGCAAATGCATATTCCCGAGTACATAACGAGGGTTGGAGGCCATTTGGCCTCCACCCACGTCTTCATTTCGGAACTTTACAGTTCCGCTTCCCCCCCCACCCGCCCCTAGTTGATCTCTATGTAATGTTTTAGTTGGACGAGAATGATGTAATTGCCCCAATTGAAATGAAGCACGTTGCCTTGCAAGAAACAGAAAGCAAGCTTTCTCAATATGCCCTTAAAGAAAGTGTAGTCATTGGCTAGGAATGGCTTCCTTTGGACATAGCTTATGTTGATACTTTAGAGGGTGCAAGCTGGCACTATACGGTACTGGTTTCGGAGTTTCAAATCAGTCAAAAATATGTCTGGCACTTTCTTTTGGGACACGTCATGTCCTGAACGTGCCCTGAGCTGTTATAAGTGACCCTGATGGGTGGATGGCAACAGACGGACGCGTGCATCCCTCTATGTACGGTAGATCTCGTCTGATACCGTTTTTGAACATCCCATAATTTCAGTCCCTTAACAAGGCCCCGTACGCGTGCGCAATATGCTGACGTCACCATGAACGATCCAGATGGATCGAAGGCAAGATCGAGAAGATCCCCTTCGCTACAGACACTCTTGAAACAGTCGGTCAGCCCGTTACTCGCACCTCCCAGCATTCGCATATCCCAGAACCTCACACTGCCAACCCAAAAATCCCCTCCTGTGGCAAAGATCTGTGGGTTGGAAGGATCCGGGCGGCAAACTGACATGGCGCCGCCCTGACGCACCTCTGCTACTGTAGCTCCTGATTCCACGTCAGCAACTCGCACTGTAGCATCCAGGCTGGCTGTCAGGAGCCGGGCGGCATCGTTCGTCCACAACGAGTCTTTCACTGCTGCCCGGTGACCGTTAAACAACCTAACTGGGCAGAGAGGAGAAGTTTTCCCAGAATCTGCCCGTTCTCCTGGGCTATCTTCAAAAGGACTCCACACTTTGACTGCCCCATCCATCCCTGCTGACGTCAACAGATGACCGTACTGTGGGGACCACCTGACACACGTGGCAGGGCGTGAGTAGGCTGACTGGATCGTGGGGGATTGGGAAGAAAGCGGGGAGATAGGGGGAGATGGGGGGAGGAAGATAAGGGGAGATGAGTGGGGAGGGGGAGGGGGGGTTGAGATAGGAGGAGATGGGAGGAAAAAATAAGAAAGATAAGGGGATAGTGGGAGATAGGAGGAGTCAGTGGGAGATAAGGGGAGATAGGGTAAAAAGGGAAAAATAGTATGAAAGAAAGTAACGTGTAACGCGGAGAGATGGGGGAGCCAGGGCGGAGTTGGGGGGTTGGGATTGGTGGGAGAGAGCGAAGGGGGGGTTGGGGTGGGGGAGGGTGGAACGGGAGAAAGCTCAGCACGTCAGGCACCGCGGGGTTTGTGAGTCGCCCTGAAAAAATGAGGGGGGTGGGGCAGGGACGGGTGGAAGCGGGATGGGGGAAGGGGAGGGCAAACTCACTGGCACATCAGGCGCCGCGGCGCAACGAATCGCTCAGCAGCGCCCTCCTGATTCGCCGTCGCGTTTCGTATCCAATGGGGCGCGTCTGGGAGAGCTCCCTCGTCGTACGCGGTTCCCCGCGCAACATTTTCCGTCGAAATTTTGTCGATTGGCTGCCCGTGAGTGGATAAGTCCTTTTTTTACCTGCCCATCCTCAACCGCTCCCGTTTCGACATGTAGCGACCAGGGGACCTTCAACACTACGGTGCGGCTACTCCGGAAATGGTCCCGCGCCGCGTCGGCGAAAGAAGTATCAGGCATTCGCGGGTCTCCACAGTTGAATCCTTGATGTGGTGAGGTTGAATCCGGTTCAATCAGGTTCGCTAAGACCTGATTTCGGTTCCTTCTCAAAAAGTCTTCCGGACCTCCCGTGTCTGCTGATGTCGTAAGTTTTCAAGACCTTGGTCTCTGCGATGACGGCGACGAGAGTGCTCGCGACGGGGATTGGTAAGGCCAGGTTACCACCCGTGTCGTCTGCCCCTCGGCCTAAAGACTGTTCGCCAGGCCCCCGTTTCGTGTCCGTGGGGGTGAGGGAGTTCGTTGCGGTGGTGGCTGATTCACAAAACGCTCTTGAGATTAGAGAGAAGTGAGTGCACTATGGAATGAAACAAGGATACAAGTACCAACCCTAATTGGGTTGTACCCCCTATGGTCTACCCCAACAGCAGCCTACATTACATGCATCAGCTAAATATAATCTGACACACCCCCATAGGCAAAGTGGGGGAGAGCAAGGGGTCACAAGACCAGTCAAGCAAGACAAGCAAAGAAAAGCAAAGCAAGCTCAGGGTGGATCTCAAGGATACCACACAAATTCCGAGCACAAGGTCAAGCCCACAAGGCCAGTTCACATGCAGCAGAGCATATATATATAACAGTGCTAAACAAGCAAGAGCAAGGATATATATATGCAGCAGTACAAGCAAGGTCAAGAGGTAAGCAAGTGAGGCCCAGTGGGCACAAGGCCTAGCAGAGTGCAAAAGCGCTGATGGTCACGAGGCGAAAGTGCCTTGGTGAACACATCAGCAGTGTTGGCCTCAGTGGCCACGAAACGCAGAAGAAGCTGACCACGCTGCTGCAGCTCTCGAGCAAGGAAGTAGCGCAGAGCAATGTGCTTCGTCCTG